AAAAAAACATCATTTAATCTACCTCGGTAAATATAGCACTCAACCTCACCCAAGGGTCACCTACGGCGCTGCTGGGGGTCAAGAACCTTGCTAATCAAACCTCAAATTTGGTGTAAGAACCTAAGCTGCCTTAGTAACGGTCATCAACAGGCTTTCAGATGGTGAAAACGTCAGTGGAACAATTTTAACGCAGGCCTTCTGCCATCTAAACAGCATAGTTTGGCGGGCTCTAAGCTCTGCTGGAATTCTACCATTCCTACGAGTCAACGAATTTTGACGATTAATCAATCCCAGTTTATTATTCACTACCTTATCGCCTAGGGCATACATGCATAGAAATATTCAGGATCATGTGTGATAGAGAAAAAATAAATTTCTGTAAAACAGATAAATGGAATGATAACAAGCATATGCAAAATTAGGATAGATAAATCAACCGGATTTGAGGAAGGGAGGACAAGATAAAATTTCATGTTAGGAAGGTAAAGCCATAGAATATAAGATGTACTCACCATATTTCGTAGTCGAAATTTCCCATAGTGATATGAGTAGACCTTACGTTTCCATTGAATTTCACAGCCTTATGTAACCAAAAAGTATTCTCATCCAGAGTTGACTGTAGTTCCGACCTCACCTAGGTTCAATGCGAATTTCAAGGAAGTCCAAGCATTTTCCCGTATCACGTTCTGTAGTGATATTATTGATGAAGCGAATTTATATTTGCTGTATAAATCAACTATATTACTTATTTTTCGTTTATAGGTAGCGAAATAAACTTCTAAATCATTTATTTTGTTAAGTCACGTATACGTTAGCCGTAAACATAATAACCGTCAATAAACAAGATAGCTCTAATCAACGAAACGCTTGACCTCACCGAGGAACCAAGTTCAAAGCAAGTTAATTGAGTTTCGAATCCTCAATTGCATCAAAAGCGACAAAGAGATAGTACATCACCAACAAGATACCAGCAACTTGATCAAAAAACCGGTCTGTTGTGCTTCATTCAGTCAATTTGCATTGTATTCGAGTTGCGAAGTTGAAACCATTCTAAGCCGGGTCAAAGTTGATTGACCAAACTGCGAATTGATGGTAAATCTTCTGTAATTTCTCCTCAATACTTATCTGAAAAATGTCGAAATCAAGCTCAGAGTTTATAAATTGAGACCGAAGTCTCAGAGGGGAGGCAAGCAATTATAAAGGACCTTGCAGTATCATAGGTAGACATATACTCGGATTACAGGCAAATATGATCAAATGCACAGAAGCAAACGAGTAAAATAATCACAAGGAAACTGCATTGCCAACCTGGTAAGAAATACTTCTGAAAAAGGACAAACTTATAACTTAAAAAACTAAATAAGAAATAAAGAGAAAATGGGTTTTGAAGGCATCCTTAATAAATTAATTTTGTGGTGAAGAGGCTGCAAATAGGCCTCACATTACAGTTGTGACTAAGACGAAATCATCTGGTCTCCGTTCTTTAATTTCGAAGAATCCCTGCTTAGCTTATGTTCATCAAGAGGGCGACATCATGGGAGCGTGAAAAAATAATTGGCGAAAATTCAACAAGCACTGAGGTTAGAAAGGATTTCATCGCAGAAACCTAGTCACAACTTCAAGGCAATCAATCCTCTTTCGGTTTACAGCGGGACCAATATATAAATCGCTCATATTCTACTTTCCGAAGAAAATTTCAGAGGCCAAGCCCAGGATTACCTGGAAATAATCATAGATTGCTTCCATGCATAGCCACTTGACTAATCGATCCGGATGTGTAGTTTAACAAATGTGCAGCGGAGTGGCATTCCAAAAAACAGTCTCCAATGTCTCAGCAAAAGCTTTTCACCCAGCATTTTGACGATATTCATTGGAGGAAAGTATGGCTGTAAAAAGAGGAAAAATACTTTCTTCCGCTATTGTGATGGAGCTGGTGGCGATTATTGTCAGACTTAGATTAGTTAGTCGAAAATTTCGTGCATACTCGATGTGGTGAAAATATTGCTTAACTTTTCGTTTTAAGTAGGTTTTTGAAACGACTAGTAAATAAGCTATACGAGAGGTGTTCACTCTAGTTCAGTTAATGTAAAGGACTGGTAGCTGAATTTCTCCACAATGATATGAGTAAACTTTAGGCTTCCATTCACTTCCCAAAAGGTATTCTCATTTAGGGTTGATTGCAGGTTCGACCTCGCCTAAGTCTTATCAACACCCCCAGCAGGATTCGGACCGCGACAGGGCAGCATGTGAGCTTGTCAGGTTAACCGCTCAGCAACATTGTCACGAGTGCTCTTATAACACAGGGCAGACGTTACTTTCAAGGAAGGACAGGCCTTATCCCATATCACATTCTGTGGTGAGATTGTCAATGAAGCAAGCTTATACTTGCTATTGCAATCAACGACATCACTCATTTTTCGTATAAAGTAAGTTTTCGAGATTACCAGTGAATAAGATATATGAAATATGTTAACCCTATTGCGTTTAGGGTGATGATCAAGGCTATGTGAAATTCAATAGAGGCGTAAGTTCTACACGTATTATTGTGGGGAAATGCAGCTACCATTCCTTCATCGGCTTAAATGCATCTCAAATATTGCTTTCGGCCATGAGAGCCCTTCCTAATTTGCAATCACCATATTAAATAAATTGGAATTTAAAATAAGCAAATTAAAATTTATGGAGAATACAAGCAACCGGATCTCGATAATGGGTCATATTTCTCTCTAAAAGATGGCATAACAGAGGAAAGTGTGATGGTTTCCCTAAACACTGTTTTTATACCCCACTTCTTTACTAATTCGCCTATCTTTTTTGAGAGATGTGCTGAGCTTGCAGAAGCAAATAAGTCTATAATCGCAAGAAAATAACCACTGTGAAGCATGGATAAAAGACGTCATCCGCTCTGACCTGTCCTAAAAGACTGGGGAACTTGTGTACTGATTAGGTCATAGATAATGTGTGCTTAATTGATTTAAACAGAGTCAATCCGGGACAGACATAACGAAAAATGGTGGCATTCAACTTCTGCTAGGTTAAGTGGGGTAGAACGAATCATGCCATTTTCCAAACACATTAGGTTCTTATGGGGGAGAGAAAAAAGACACCCTCATCATATGATAATAAAGATTCTAAGATCTGCAAACAATGCTGGACAGCGAATTATAAGGTAAACCCGAATTCTCTCGACTCAGAGTGAGTTCAAAGGAGAACTCAAGCCTCGTCCTAGTTATCATAAGTTACCCTAAGCACTTCTCTAGACACGTGGAATAAACAATAAATTATCGGCCGGGAGGCAGTAACAGTTAAACAAAATAAGTCCATACCAGTTCGCTTGGATAGTACTCGTTGATAGTCTAGAAGTGTGTAACAGGTCATGATCACCAAAGTATAATTGCATAGATTGGAAAATAAACTGGTTTTCGAGAAATCTTTTCCTACAACATTATGTTGACCTTCATTTTGACAGAAAGTGTGATGAATAGTTTCACTGGCCAATCGCACCAAAAGACAAAGGTGCTACATTCGGGTTGATGCAGTTCGGATAAATGAAAGCTAGGCATATTTCAGCATAACCGCCGTCGTCTTCTGATCAAATCGACCTACAAGTCTCTTCATCACACACTTGCTCTCGAGACGAAAGTCAAATCAGCACATATCACCCATAGACAGAAATATCCTACCTCGTTCACATGCTTTTCAATCTCCAAAGTCAGCTTCATCGCCTCCAGAATGGTGGTTATTCGGTCGATGTTTGGCGCTCGTATAGACTGGAAGGTTGGCCGACCGCCACGCAGCAATAGGTAGTCCATCAGCTTCTCTGCGTGTTCGTTCTCCTCATGAAAAGCCATGCGGAAAAAGCGAGCAGCCCCCGGCAAAGCGATGTCGTCACGGGCGAACTGCGAGGCCAAGGCGAAGAAGGTGTAGCCTGAGTCGAGCTCAAGGTTAATCTGTTGGCTCAAGGCGACCTCGCATTCATCGTGTAGGTTTTGACGACACAGGCTGGTGGACATTTTGCCGAGAAAGCTGGAAATGTGAGGCAAGAGTATGCCTTAAATAGGCGTGGGAATAGACACGAACTCAATGCCATTGGGTTAGGGTGGCCATTCAGAAGCTGACCGAAAGACACGCGTTGCTGGGCGGAAAAAGGCTTCGCATACATACGCACATGCTGACAGACGGGCCTGTCTATACGGGCTGAGCTGGAAAATAACATACGAAATGAGGACGAAGCCTAAACGATTGTCACTGCTCCCAGTTGGTCCGGCTCACGCGACGTGCTCACTGCGAAAAGTGTGATCGTGGATCAATACGGTCCCGTTTTTACTAGAGGCCAATCGATGCGATCAGGCATCTGCGTCGCATGTGATTAGCACAAGTGAACGCGTTGGATGATCGAGAAGTGTGCTGTGGCTACTTGTGGCTAGGAGAGAGTGGAGCGAGGAAAGACACTCAGGGCACAAACCAGCCTAGACTCGAACCAATGAACCCGGAAATTCGTACCTCAAACGGGACAGTCGCTCAGTTTGTGCGTCTTGGTCAAATTGACAACTCCAGAAGAATGGGGAGACTCTAGTTTTGTTGG